ACGGGATTTGATCAAATATTTTTATCACTCTATTCAACCAAGAAAACTTAGTAAAATTCAAAGAAGATCAAACATCCAGCTATAAGACTTTCCAGATGACTTAATTATTAGTCATCTGAGAAGACTAACACAAATTCTTAATACATACTCATAAAGTCTGGACGACTTAGTAGAAGACTTATAATTAAGTCTTCTGGAAAGTCATCTAGCTGGAAGAATTTCCAGATGACTTAATTATTAGTCATCTAAGAAGACTAACACAAATTCTTAATACATACTCATAAAGCCTGGATGACTTAGTAGAAGACTAATAATTAAGTCGTCTGAAAAGTCATCCAGCTGGAAGACTTAACTGTAAGTCTTCCAGACAGGTCATTTTTGCAATTGAAATTTAAATGAGACGACTTACTTCTAAGTCGTCCAGCTTTGTATGTTAAAAAAAAAAATCAGGACAACTTATAAATAAGTCGTCTAGGAAAAACGGGCTAATTTTGCATTTGACCGAATTGTGTCAGATATTTGACTTTTCTTGGACGACTTACCAGTAAGTCGTCTCCGGGAAAGTTAAAATTTCAATATTTTATTAAATCTAGACGACTTACGGATAAGTCGTCTTAGATTAGTTTTGTAATTGAAAAATAAAACTTTAATTATAACTTTTCCCAGAAGACTTAATTTAAAGTCGTCCACTCAGACGACTTATTCTAAAGTCGTCTGAGATAAGCAAAGTTTGATCGGAAAAAAATCTGGACGACTTTACTTATCTCAGACGACTTTAGAATAAGTCGTCTGACTGGACGACTTTAAAATAAGTCGTCTGACTGGACGACTTTAAATTAAGTCTTCTAGAAAAAAAAAATTAAAGTTTTTTTTTTCAATTACAAAACTAACATAAGACGACTTATCCGTAAGTCGTCTAAATTTAATAAAATATTGAAATTTTAACTTTCCCGGAGACGACTTACTAGTATGTCGTCCAGGAAAAGTCAAATATCTGACATAATTTGGTCAAATGCAAAATTAGCCTGTTTTTCCTAGACAACTTATTTATAAGTCGTCCAGATTTTTTTTTTTTTAACATACAAAGTTGGAAGACTTAGAAGTAAGTCGTCCAGCTGGACGACTTAAAAGTAAGTCGTCCAGCTCATCCAGAAGACTTACAAGTAAGTCTTCTACGCGAACACATCTGGAAAAAAAATTCAATTTCATACCTTAAACTAGGTGAGATGACTTTCTTAGCACACAAAGTCTTCTCCAACCACCCAAAATATCAAATGAAAGTAACCCACCAAGAATTGTATGCTTAAATGGCTCTATCAACCATAAAAAATTTTGAATCAAAAGCTTGGGTTTTTTGTATGAATTTGGAGACAAAGTGAAAGAGATGTTGTTTTTAGTTCATAACAATTGAGAAAGAGAGAGTGTAAATCGATTTTTGGTGCATTAAGAGCTTCAAATTGGTTGTTCATGGTAGTTAGGGTATTGATGGCAATGCCAATCGTGTAAATACTTCAAGATGATGAGATTGAGAGAGTAAAAAAATAATTTTCAAAAAAAAGAAAAGAAAAAAGTGTAATGGCATTTTTGTAAATAATGTGAACAGATGGGTGAATAAGACAAACGAAAAATCAAAAAACAAGAAAGGTTAGTTTTGTGTTTGACTTTGAGTTTTGAGTCAAATTTGTAAAAATCCATTTTTTTAATATGTATGCAAAAACCTAAACGATAAGTAAAATAACGGAGGGAGTAATATATTTCACTAAGTGCCTTATATATTTACGTGTCTTTTCATTATGAAATGTTTATAATAAATGTGTCTTTTACCCTGAAATAATGTGTTAAATATGAGTACGTTTTAACTTTTAAGAAGTGTTTCATTATGCATTATGCATTAGAATATCTTTTTGTAATTATATACCTATTTAGAATATATTGTAAATTACCATTTTAACAAATACTTATAATTTGGAAAATCGTGACTATTCATATAGCTTTTTCTTAATACAAATAATCTATATGTCTATAAGTTTTTCATTGTAAATCTTTTACCAATTTATTAAAATGGTGGAGAAGAAAGGTTGTGTGGAGCTACTTGCTTTCAATATTTTTGAAGATATTTAAATGAAATATAGTCAATAAAAGATGGTAATTAGTAAGAACTGTCATTCATGTTTCACTAGCAAATAATCCTAAACAAAATAGTGAAGTTATTAGTTTAATTGTTCGTTTATTAGATGGAAATGTGTGTTTTTCTTTCTTACAAAATTTGCATTTCCGATCATGTATGTTCCACATGATTCATGTCCTTATATTCATACATTGGATTATATAAAATGTTTGATGTCATTATAATCAGTAAATTTGGGTATTTAGGATATTGGTAGTGCATTGTATATGAGTGGATTACCTTAATTTACAAAAGCATCCAATTTGATACCTTAGTGTATTTCTTCATGAGTGTATTTTCAATCATTGTCTTGGTTGTTTCCAACTAGTGACATCGAATAACCAAAATTACTACTAACATATTGTTCTTTCATCACGTGCTGCATGATCCATGGAAAATATATAGTTTTTTTTTTGGGTGTAAATGTTAAGATTTATACCGATTTTTTTTCGTAGTTGTGGCTTACCACTTATTACAGCAAGGATAAAGAGAAAACAGATCAAGCAGTTACAAGAGATGAGACTAAGGAACCGGTGGAGGAAGGCAAATATATAGTTGTATAGATATCCCTTATATCATATAACTTTAGTTCTAATTTGGTTGTTATAACAATCATTGAAATGAGTAAAAAACATTGTTACTAATAAGGTAGTTGGCATATAGTTTTAGTTGAATAATAAATGATATATATTTGTGTATTTTTCATTTAAAATATTTTTATTGATATTATTTGGTTATTTTCTCATTTTATTTATATTATACATTTTAAAAGTCTATGGAAAAACGTCAAAGAATATATATTTTTCTCTTTTTGTAACATATACAATCTTCTTCAAAAAACAATAACAAGATGCTTTATATAAAATATAAATTATACTAAATGGCATATATTGTTTTAATAAAATGAGTTAACGCTAATAATTCAAAACATGCACATAAACTTCAATGTGTGTGCTTTTGCCAACTAGCTATAATTTTTAAGTTATTCCGTATTTTTTTATGTAACAATTGAATAGTTTATGAGTATTTATTTATATTATTTTCAATTTATCTCTATTTGATGTAACTTATTTTATTTTAAGTGAAAAATATATTTGTTTATTCATATATTTTTTCTTGTGACGAGATACATCCTTTAAGAATACTAAAAATATTGCAATATTGTATCCTTTCAAAAATATAATTTTATAACACATGTAATTTTTCAAAAACAATTATAATTTTTTAAAATATTAATTTGTAAAATGAGTTTCCGTGCGATATCGTACGGGTTCCTTACCTAGTTATACTAAATTATAAGGTAAATTAAATATTTGAAAACGTAACTCAAAACAATGTTATTCATTTGTTCATGAGTTAAGCCGTTTGAGAAAGTAGAAGATCCATCTTCAAATAGTGAAGCCTGGGATAAAATGATGTCGCCTGCTTGGGATTAGACCAGCCGGATGACTTCATTGATAACCGGATGATGAATTTGACATGTTTGCTTGTTGGTGTACATCCACTTCAACAACGACAAATCGTCAATGGGTTATGCCGTTTTCCGCAATCTAAAAAAAAATAAAGATTAATAAATAATAGAAAAATAGAATAAATTATTTTAGAATATTAAAATTTCTAAAAAGGTAAACTGGTAGATCTCAGATTCTGAATATAAATCCTATTCTTGCCACGTTTGCTACGCCCATTACCAGAGTGGGTTTGCGACTGAGTCTGTGTTTCTATGTTTCCCGTTTCGCCCAATGCTTTTCTAAATCCTTCCAAACGGTTAGGTTTATCAACTTGGACACCTTGTCCTTGTCCCATTTCTACTTCCACTCATTGAGTTGATCACTATAGTGATTGCTCTCGAAGTGGCGGAAAGCGATTTTCACCTTTTTTTTCAACTTCGAAGTCCAAGTAAATTCTTGTTGTTTAAAAAAAAAAAAAAAAAATAAGAGTAAATTTTTTTTTTTGTAAGAGAAGAGTAAAATTATATGGTTAAAAGTAATGTTACTGCGAATTAACGGAATCACTCATTGCGGTCTGTTTCAGGTATTTCTTTGTAAGTCAAATAATCACGGCTCATCATTATGTACTCCATCTTCAGAATACATTTGCCAATGCCATTGTCTGACAAATCAATCCTACAAAACAACATTGAACTCAATTAATAGTAGACATTCGACCTATATGAAAATACTTTTAAAAATAAATTTAACATTATAAAACTCATCTATTAAAAAGTAAGCATAAGTACCTATAAATTAATTTTAAAGGCTTATAAATCAATAATAAAAAACTTAAACCATGCATAAGTGAGTATACAAATTTAACTATTCAAATAATTTTTAATGATAAACTCTTTCAACTATATTTGGGTTGAGAAAAAAGCCATCAACTAAGTTGTCAATATTATAAATTTCAACTTATAAATCGTTATATATACGATGACAGACCTTAAATGACAAAATTACAGTTGTTGAGGTTTTTTTCATCCAAGTTTTAATTGAGAATTTGTATTATGATCTATCTATAGTTGAGATGTTTTATTACTAAAATCACATATATTTTCTAATACTTTGCATTATAATTGATTATTGGTTTCTTTCCTTACATATTGGTAGTAATTTTACTTGTTATGTTATGCAGCTCATGTTCCACGTTTCTGATCCATAAAAATGACACGCTGGTTCACATGATTCACATGTGACTGGCTGGTTGTTTTCAGATTCTTATTTGAGATGTCCATTATAAAACCAAATCAAACGAAAAGATAACAAGTAAAATTACATTTGAAGATAAGTCTCTGTCTTTGTTTTGAATCTCCACAAAATGACGCTCCGACAACAAGAAACACTGTCTTTCACAAAAAAAACAGATCAAGAACCTCTTCAAGAATTTATCTTCCGGTCCAAACTTCCCGATATCTCCATCCCAAGCCACCTTCCTCTCATCGATTACATCTTCCAGAAATTCTCCGGCGACTCCACCACCAAATGTCTCATAGATGGTTCAACCGGTCGTATCTTTACCTACGCCGATGTACAAATCACTTTAAAGCGCATCGCTGCAGGAATACACCGTCTCGGGATCCGCCACGGTGACACTGTGATGCTCCTTCTCCCAAACTCGCCGGAGTTTGCTCTGTCTTTCCTCGCCGTAGCTTACCTCGGAGCCATAACGACCCCCGCGAATCCCTTATATACCCAACCGGAGATAGAAAAACAAGCAAAAGCCTCCGGCACGAAGATGATAATTACCAAACCATGTTACGTCGATAAACTGAAAAACCTCCAAAACGTTTTGATCGTCTGCGTTGACGACGAAGATGACGACGTTTCGTTAGCTGACGGTTGCGTGAGTTTCACGAAACTGACTCAAGCGGACGAGACAGAGCTTCCTAAGCCGAAGATCTCGCCGGAGGATACGGTGTTGATGCCGTACTCCTCCGGGACCACGGGACTTCCAAAGGGAGTTATGATCACTCACAAGGGAGTAGTTACGAGCACTGCTCAGAAAGTCGACGGAGAAAACCCTCATCTCTACTTCACGGGAGATGACGTCATCATATGTTTTCTCCCGATGTTTCACACTTACACGCACAACTCGCTGATGCTTTCGGCGATGAGGGCCGGTGCGGCGTTCTTGATACTGCCTAGGTTCGAGTTGAATATGGTGATGAAGATGATTCAGAAGTATAAGGTCACGGTGGTTCCGATGGCCCCGCCGGTGGTTTTAGCGTTCGTTAATTCGGAGGAGACGGAGAGATACGACCTGAGCTCGGTGAGGATGATGCTTTCAGGCTCGGGTGCATTGAAGAAGGAACTTGAGGACGCCGTGCGTCTCAAGCTTCCCAGCGCCATATTTGGTCAGGTCAGTTTTAAAAAGTTTAAACTTGAAGATGCTCTCACTTTCACAACTATTAAATAAATTTTCATTAAGGCAAGGACTCTACAAATTATTGAAGTTCGAGAAATTTGACGGAGTAATGAGATTAAGATTGAGTAATTATTGATATTCGAGAAGTATGATTGAGTAATGATTCTTGATCTGAATAGATTACATCTGATATGGGTCATGTGGCATTTATGAGTAGGTGTGAAGATTCGTCTCTTGAATGTCATCCAATGAATTTTTTATGTATATATATATACATACACACAGCAATCACATGGTATCACCTAATGGTGTCAACGAACTTAGAATATTCATACTTATAGTTTCTTTTGAAATATACTAGATTTCGGTACTAATTTAACCTAATATTTTAATAGTACTTTTGTTGACAAAAAAATGTTTATATTACTTTTAACCTTCTGAAGTGTTGAATCTATCTTGAGGGTTATTAGAGATATAATTTGTCTAGAACCATAATGTTTAATTAATTTTAAAAATACAATTCCAATGATAAATTATGGGATGCTACGATGGTGGGGGAAAAACATTCAAATGTTGTCGTTTCTTAAATTTTGGTAATGACAAAATAACCTATTTTCAGAGTTATGGAATGACTGAAATGGGAACAGTGGCTAAGTCATTGGCATTTGCAAAAACACCATTCAAAATCAAGTCTGGTTCGTGTGGGACTGTGATTAGGAACGCCGAGATGAAAGTGGTCAATATCAATACCGGAGTCTCCTTACCACGCAACAAGCCTGGCGAAATATGCATCCGAGGCGATCAACTCATGAAGGGTAAAAAAACAGTTTAATGATCATGATGTGTTAGCTAGTGTTTTTTCCTTGTAAAAAGACTTTAAAAGGAAGGAAATTATGTGATTCATTAGGTTATTTGAACGATCCGGAGGCTACTGCACAAACCATAGACAAAGACGGGTGGTTACACACTGGAGATATTGGGTTTGTGGATGACGATGATGAGATATTCATTGTTGATCGTTTAAAAGAAATGATCAAATTCAAAGGCTATCAAGTGGCTCCAGCTGAGCTTGAAGCATTACTTATTTCTCATCCTTACATCGACGATGTTGCTGTTGTCGCGTGAGTTTAATAACAAACGTGTGAAATTTTCCTGTTTGACACTCTTAACCTTCTAATGATATTTCATTTTTCAGAAAGGAAGATGAAGTAGCTGGTGAGATTCCAGTAGCGTTTGTAGTTAGATCGGAACGATTTCAGCTAAATGAAGATGATGTCACGAATTATGTCAACAAACAGGTAATATTTGGGATTTCAGGTCCGCCTTTCAACATGGAAAAACAGTCAAACACACTGATCATGGAAATTTTAGATGTCTTACTAATTAATGTTGTGATGATCTATATAGGTGATACACTACAAGCGAATTAAGATGGTGTTTTTCATTGACTCGATACCCAAATCTCCATCCGGGAAGATATTGAGGAAAGATCTACGAGCAAAACTAGATAATGGATTGATGAATAAAAGTTAAACAATCTTTTCTGATACAAAAACAAATAAGTTGTTGATCAACAAAGGAATAAATAAGGGTTTCTTTAAAGTTCAATTTTTAAATTTGGTGGAAATATGTTACCTTCATATAGTACTAGAACTTGATCCGTGCATCTGCATGAGTGTTATTTTAATGGAATAGAGATATAAAATTGTTCAAGACACAAAAATGTAACAGTTTCACAAACATATGTCCCTATGGGTGTTTGTTCAATTTGTAATATATAACATTTAGGATAAATCCACGTTAATTGTATGTGTAGGTTACTCATACAGTGGTTGGATATTAAATCGATCAAAATGATATGTTATATAACATATTCGTCAATTATATTTTAACAACATAATCGTTTTTGATATATTTATTTATAAATTAAAACACAAATTAGTATGTTTATGTATATTAATAAATCTATCTTTCCAAGATAAATATTTTCTGTCAAATATACTTTTATTTTAATAGGATAAATAAGTATGTCTTTGAATTTTTATATGCCCATAATTTTATGTTATTTTTGAGAAAAAATCTAATTAAAATTTTGTTGTATTCTTATAATTCAAATACATATGTGTGAATTATCTTAACCATCAAATTATTTAACATATATCTGAAAAATATTGTTGTCAAAACAATATCTGAAAAATATTTGGATATATATATCAGTGAAATGATAATATAAATGAATATATACAAAAAAATTGTATGTCTTTTTTTTTTTAAATTTATATGTTTAATTCTATTGTAAAAACTAATTAGAGAGTAATTTGGTTAGAGAATAATTCGATTAAAGAATAATCATAATTTTGGTTAGAGAATAATCTAATCAATAAATGATTTATGATTAATTAATTATTGGATATTAATTCAGTGGGACAAGTTATAATTATTAGGATGAAGAAAGAGTTATTCATAAAAGGTATTTTAGTTTTAATGGAATAGATAGATAGTATATCTTTAAGTTTTTTATATACCAAATAAATTTCACTTCTATGTTATTTGAGGGAAATATTATTTTTGTAATTTTATATTTCAAATATATCTGTGCAAATTATCTTAATCATCAAATTATTTAACATATATCTGAAAACAATTTGGTTGGATAACAATATAACATAATAAATGATTTATGATGAATTAATTAATAGTTATTATTTAAGTGTCATAACTTGTAATTATTATGATGAAAATAGGTTTATTTTTAAATGGTATTTCAGTTTTATTAGAATAGTTGACACAATGATAACACAACATTTACCCAAAGAAATAAGCATCTTTAATTATTTAAAAATATGGTTTTGATGGGAAAAATAATTCCGCATTTTAGACAAAAACATAATTTGTGGTTTTGGTGAAAAATGAAGGTTATGATTTTGGAGAGAAAAGGTGATTTATGGTTTTGGCGGGAATTATTATTTTACATTTTTTATAAGAAATTTTTTTTTTTGATTGCATTTTTGACAGAAAATACGTTTTTGTAGTTTTGACGGAACATTATGTTATATAATCTTATTGTATCTCATTCAGGAGGGAAGCAGAGTTTCACTGATCTTGAAAATTCACTAATGTCTAATAACTGATAGCGGTATAATCTGTAAAGTGTAAGTATAGATTAAATTTTGGAGATGCGTCCACAAATTAGAGATCTTTCTATTTAATGATTTAAGATCTTTGTATTCAATGATTTGTTATGTTTAAGAAGAAGGAAGACTAGGATTAGAACTCTCTATCGGCTACTTAAATAGAGTTGTTATGTGTGCATAATGTCACAGAAAACTTAGAGTAAGAATCATGTAGACTGCACATGGGCCAGCGATTTAAGAGGAACGTACATTTTGTAAAATAATTTTTAGAATTACAGAAACCTACATGAAAGTATTTGGCGTATTTTCGCAGATCCTCTCTTCTTTTTATAAAAGGGAGAAATTGGTGGAATGTCTTTTGACTCTTTTCATATTGTCTACCGCGTTCAAAATTAGTAGTAGCTACATATTGATGCATAGTTGTTTATGGATCTCCAATCATGATTTTACAGAACTTCCAAAAATAATATTTGTACATCTGTTCTTGTTGGATTGGTGAACTTGTGAAAGCACTGTTTTTCTTTTTTTCAAGCCATCTTCGACCAAAACACCATTTTAATGTAATTTTTATACCACAACCTCTCCAACCCAACTCTAAAAATCCCACCATTTTGATTTAGAGCTACAGTACTGCACCAAATTGAGTGTGTTACTATTCACAACGACAAATACTATTCACTTACTTTTATTCATAAAAAATAACCATAACAAAATAAATACATATAAAATATAAAAATAAATATATAAATAACTACACTACATATATTGAAATAGTTTACTTTAATTTATTATTATAATGTTATTATATGTCCAAATAATAAATCTTTATTTTAAAACAAATATATACCTTTTTTTATTTCTGTGGAATATAATAATATAATAAATTTTATTTATTAGATATATGAAGTAATAAGAAAAATATATTTATTTAATAATATAAAAATAAAAATACAGTTTTGATGTAAAATTTGATGTTATGGTTGGAGAAGGAAAAACTTTTGATGTTAAAATTACACTAAAATGGTGTAGTTTCCACATCAAAATGGTGCTATGGGTTGGAAATGCCTTGAAGGCACTTATTCACATATCTAACCCCAATATAATATATATTAATTATTTTTGACCAGTACAGTTTTTTCTTATGGTGACTAAAATTTTCCATAACAGCAATAAAATAGTATCCTATCAAACAAACAAAGAAAAAACAAAATATATTGACAAAAAAATGATAATACTATCCATTAAAGAAAAATACATAACTACCTATTATATAGTGTTTATTTGTTTTTTGAGAACGAATTTGTGTTTAATTCCGTAAGAAGCTTAGTTACATGTTTAAAGCAATAAAAAAAATATTTGAAACAAAAATGATGAATAGTAAGGCATTTTTTTGTCAAGAATAATAAAGCATTTACTGGAAGAAAGTAGCGCAGTTACGTAGAGACTTACATAGAAGAGCACTTTATGACTTTTGTTTGCAGTGGGAGACAATTTTTCCCGGTGACACACATTGTGTGTACATGTGTCCTTTCTTGGACGAAAATAACCTTAGTTCTTTTTTGGACGAAAATTTAAGAAAATAATAACAAAAAACTAACTAATTTTCCTGTGTTTATTATACTGGTTACAATTAATGAAAAGTGTAAACTTAATGACAATCTCCATTAATATAATCATTGTTTCTTTCAAATTTCAGTTTGGTTACTGTTGATTTAACTTGAGAGTTATAGATGAGATGTTTATGAAAGAGTTCTGGACTGATGTGCTATGGCCGCGTGAGTTATAGAAGAATGATGTGTGAATGGACAAGCTGTAGACAAAAAAAAATTGGCCAAAGAAGTTACATATGGGTAAGATAGAGTGTTAGATGGTGGTTGGTGGACAAAAATTGGTGTAAATGAAATATGCAGAGAAGAGACTGATGGGTATGAGATCAATGTATAGGAGATGAATGAACATGAGTTTCGTGGACAAGAGATGGGTGGATAAGATAGAACTGGACATGAGATTCGTGGACAACGGCTCTGTGGATAGCATGAGAGACTTACATGACAGTATCTTATCAACACATGAGGTCGGATTATGACGATTTTCTAGGTTAGTCTACATATGAGAATCAAAAATTAAATTTATAATAAGGAAGGTCTTTTAAGTAAAAATCAAAACCTTGCATATTAAAGATATTCAAAAGGAGATGGATGGCCATATCAATGTGTAAGAGATGGATGGACATGAGTTTCGTGGACAAGAGATCGATGGATAGGTACAAGCTGGACATGAGATTTGTGGACAACCGCTCGCGGATAGGATGCGAGACATCTTGACATGATGATATTTTTGGAATCTGTCAGACGCGATGGGAAGTCGAGAGTCTTTTCCGTTGTTTACAAATCAGTAGAATTCATCAACAATGAAGATCTACAAAAAATGAAAAAGTAGATTTAGTAAGTAAAAATAAGAGCTTTCATATTGAAGATTCATCGTCTGTCCAACCAAAAGGGACCATATTAGAAGGAGGAGACAAAGAGAATAGTATTTAGTATTGGATGTGAGATAGAGAAATCAATAGATTAGGATTTGGTGTTCGGAAGATAAAGGTCTGGAAAGAAGACGACGGTCACGAAAAGTACTTTGTAACCTCCACAATTCTTCTGACCACAATTATACCAACAACAATTCTCCTGACCATAATTACCTTGACCACAATTCTACCGACCACAACTCGGAAAGAAGGTGATCTTCTGTGTTCTCTGTAAAATTAAAACATGATTAAAAGAGTTGAGATTTAGACCGACCGAGAAGACAAACTAGATTCAAGTAATTGCTTTTGGAATTGGAATCTAACCTTCCACGTAGGAGATTGTTTGTGAAAAAATAGAGGCAGAAAAGAACTGGCTGCGGTTGAGAACTCGGATAGTTGTGTGCTCGAGAAATAGAGATCGAGAAGATATTAAAAGGGGGAAAGGGGGTTAGAGGCAATTCTAGATCGAGAATATTAGGATTTAGTTTCTTTGACCTCTCATGTTGGAAATCGATTTCAATATCAAGAAGATTCTCAAGATGTCGAGGGAGAAAAAGGGAATATAGTTCACTTTGGGAGGTTTTTCTGAATTTAGGATTTTGGAGAGATGAAATTATTAAAGAAAATAGTTTATTTGTTTTAG